ACTATGTAACTAGTAGAATATGTTTAATTATGTGTATTTTATCAAACCTCGACTATGTAACTAGCAGAATATGTTTAATTATGTGTATTTTATCAAGCCCTGACTATGTAACTAGTAGAATATGTTTAATTATGTGTAATTTATCAAACCTCGACTATGTAACTAGTAGAATATGTTTAATTATGTGTATTTTATCAAACCTCGACTATGTAACTAGTAGAATATGTTTAATTATGTGTATTTTATCAAACCTCGACTATGTAACTAGTAGAATATGTTTAATTTTGGTTATACAAACTTTGTTCATCGTCCATCCTGTGTATTCTGCTTATTCCTGATACGTTTAGCGTCCAAAAGTCAAGTGTTAAAGATAGTCTCTTGAACTTTTCGGGATTAATATTCGGATCTACTTTGTTTTTCTTAGAACTGAAAATTAAAAGCTTAAATAATATAAAAGATATTTTGTCACTATCGCACGCTTTCTTTTAATTCTATCACCCCTGGGGATATTTTATATAGAACCATTTACCAACAAAAACTGGACTTTTCCATAAAATATGCTTCAGGTAGAAACGTCAGATAGGTTGGAAATGGCAAAGTTCGATCTGCGTATAAAAAACAACAACAACGTCCGTCACGAAATAAGCCTACTCAGGGATGACAATATCTTCGGATAAAACTTGGATTTAGAAAGCTATTGAAAAAAAACCTGACATTTGATTAATGATTCCGTTTATAGGTTTTTTATAGACGTCTGGTGTCTTTCTTTTTTCGTGAAAGATGCTATTTTAGTAGCACAGGTTTATTTTTAACACACAAGAGTCAATAACGACTTTATCTCGTTAGATATCGTGATCTGAAACTGACATTCGTTTTGTTATGACGTCAGTAACTCGTTATATGCACTGTCATGTAAGAGTAATTGTCTCACGTTGTTTAAAAAAAAAGCTACATAAAAATTAAAACTATATCAGCTATTTAAAAATTTGCCTACGCTTTAGGCTCCCGTATAATGAAATATTAACCTTTTTAAACATATTTTTATTATTGAGTAAATTTTGTCTTTTGGTAATTAAAATTATTTCACATGAAATGATTTTTCTTGTTGTTTATAGCGAAATGAGGAAGAAGCATCTTGGATATTTTCTGTTATTTTGTAGTTGTTTGTCTGAAGATATTTATAGCTTTCGTTACAACTAATATTACTTGTATTTAAATATTGGTTCTATACTCGTGATACAGTTCAACTTAACTGGTGTAACGTGTATTTATACAATTCTATACTCGTGATACAGTTCAACTTAACTGAATATTGGACGTGTATTTATACA